GTAGCGTGTGACCATAAAGAAATACCTAAGGCCAGGCACAGTGGCTCACATCCGTCATCCCAGCACTTTAGGAGGCCGAGGCGGGCAGATTGCCTGAAGTCGGGAATTCAAGACCAGCCTGGCCACCGTGGTGAAACCCTGTCTCAACTAAAAATACAAAAAATTAGCCAGGCGTGGTGGCGGGCGCCTGTAATCCCAGCTACTCGACAGTCTGAGGCAGGACAACCTCTCGAACCCAGGAGGCTGAGGTGGCAGTGAGCCAAGATTGCACCACTGCACTCCAGCCTGGGCAACAGAGCAAGACTCTGTCTCAACAAAAGAAAAAAAAAAAAAGGACCTGGGGGCAGGTGGCATCTTGGGCCTGCTGAGGCAATCGATGGCAGCGAGTCACGTGTCAATATGCATGGAACTGCATGCTAGAACAGAACATCTGTATGTACTACCTTTTAAAATCAAGAAAAGAACAAAGTGCTCATGCTGCGTTTCTCTTTACAGACATTTCGAGAAAATGAAAGCTAATCTGTGATGTGAGGAGCAGATCAGCCATTGCCTGTGGACAGGGGACGGGAGGAGCAGGGCAACCTGAGGCAGGGCGGGGATCCCCCAGGGGCACCAGGGAGAGTGGGCGGCAGGAAGAGCGCTCGTGGTCACGACTGGACGGATGGCTTCACCTGGGAACAGCGACGCAGACGTCAAATGTCCCAAACTGTGCACTTCAAACGTGTGCACCTGTCGGCTACACTTCAATAGAGCTGTTCCATCTCTCCAGACTCTCAGATGCTCCAACAGGGCAAAGCTACAGTGCGTGAAAACGATGGTCAGCTCCCTGGGGACGGCAGCCACAGCTCCATGCCATCCTTAGCCCAAGGGCAGGGCGTGTCAGGGTGTGAGAACAGGATGTCTTCTGTGCACACACACACAATCCCACACACCACACCCCCACACACAATCACACACCACACAAACCCCACACACCCCACACATACACACCACACACAATCAGACACCTCACACACTACACACAATCACACTACACACACAAGCACACACACCACATGCAATCACACACACCACATACAACCACATCCCACACACAGTCACACACACTTCACACACCCCACACACAATCACACACCACACAAACCCCACACACCCCACACATACACATCACACACAATCACACACCTCACACACTACACACACATCACAATCACACACACAAACACTCCACACACTCTACACATACACACACACCACAATCACACAAACCACACACACACAATCACACACACCCCATACACCACACACACAATCACACACTACACATATCAGACACCTCACAATCACACCACACACAATCATACACACCACAAACACCACACACGTGACACACACAATCACACACACCACACACATACACATGACACACAATCACACATACCACACCTACCACACACAACATACACACCACACACAATCACACCACATATGCACCTCACACAAGACACACAATCACACTACATATACACACACATCACAATCACACATACCACAAACATCCCACACATCCCACACATGCACGCCACACACAATCACACCACACACACCCAACACACCACACACACCCTACACACCCCACACACAATCACGCACACCTCACACAGAATCACTTCACACACCACACCACACACACAATTACACACACCACCCATTTTCACAGTGAGCAGACATCTTACCTCACAAATACTTCACAGAGCCCACAGAAACCTCACGTCACACCACACATCCCCTCACACTGACAGGACCAGGCTGAGGCTGCATCTCCTCCTGAAATCGCCCTCGCTAGTTTCCCCCCCCCTCCCCTGCTTCCACTCAACATTGCTGGTTCTCCAGAGGACACTCTTTAGATGAATTCCTTGCATGCATGCTGCATCTCAGGGTCTGCTTGTACTAAATACATCGGCTGCCCGATGGCCTGGCTCTGCCCTCAAATGCCACGGCTTCCATTTCCACTCCAGCAGAGTCCACAAAGATCTCTCAACAAGGGAAAGGGCTTTCTCTGCACATGCAGGTGCCTGGAAGGCTGCAGCCAACAGCAGCCAGCTGTCATGATGGCCGGCCAAGGATGCCAGCCTCCTGGGGGGACTCACAGTACCTCCAAAACCCAAGGAAATGAAGAAGTTGGCCAAGAGGGTGTGGAAGAAAGGGGCAAAGGCAAGGACGTGGGGAGAAAAAGGACCCCCAGACCACCGGCCAAAGAGGTGGGGAGGGTGTGGAAGAAAGGGGCAAAGGCAAGGACATGGGGAGAATAAGGACCCCCAGACCACCGGCCAAAAAGGTGGGGAGTGAAGTTGGCAGAAGGGCTCCAGGGCCACACTCAGACCAGGCAGTGCCAGGCTGTGGGTAGAGGGGGCAGACCTACCATGGGGGCCTCAGAAAGCCCCAGACCATTCTGCGGTCCAGCTCCACATGGCATTTCCAGTTATTCTTTTTAACAAATACTGAAATAGAAGACTGTGTTATTTTGCAAACCTGGCTCGGGCTGGGGTCTGAAATGTTTGTTTTAATCTGCTTAGTTGTACAAGGAAGATGAGAGCTTCCTTTTCTAATTGACTCTTCACTGAAGGGCAATTAACCTCAAGGATGTTTACCACAGGGGAACGACAGCGTCTCTTAGGTATAGTAATTTCGAGGATGGGTCGACATCAGATTAAAAATCTTTCTGCGTTTGCCATTGCCCTCTCTAAACACGCGAAGGCCCTATATTGAGGGTCTCAGATTTGGTATAATTAACTTTTAAGGGCTTGAACCTGCCTGGATGTGTAATTTCTTCCCAGAACATGTGGGAGCTGTTATGTAGCCCATGATATCATTAACATAATTATTGTCAGCACTCTGCTTTGCGGTGGCTCCATCTTTGAGCTGAAGTTGCATGCATAATCGTCTCTCTGCCTGTTGGTCACATTGCTTTCCTCTGTTCCTCGGACATCGGACACGGCCCCCCCCAGCACAGGGGCTTGAGGCGCTGGGGTCTCCCATGGTTCTACCTCTCCCTGGTGAAGAATCATGCACCAGAGTTCCAGGGAACACTCCTCTCCTGTGACAGGTCACATATATTCCCCAGCCTGGAAAGCACCTCTTCCCATATCCTGGTCACTGCTACTTCTCACGGCAGAGTTCAGACGCCACCCTGCAGAAGCCCTCGAAGATTCCCTCACTGCAGTTCACACAAGACTGGCCCTGACACTGGAGAGATGGAGTTTCAGGTCTGAGGAGAGCTCATTAAAATTCTAGGTGGAAGGGGCTGTGTGGGCACTGGAGGTCCGGGCCAGGCTCCCGCTCCCCTCGGCTCACTAGTTCTTGGATGGGACCCCTGCCTGCTCCCAGCCGAGCTTCCTCCTGTCACTGGCACCACGGTCCCGTCACAAAGCTGTTAGGTGAGTACTCGTGCACAGTGATGGCCGGAATTAAGCCGAGTGTTGATTTGCAGGGTGCTGTGCTACGGATCGGGCTTATGTTCAGCCACTGTTGTGGACAAGAAACAAAAGTAGTTTGATTCCTTGCCTTTTGGAGCATTTTGCTATGACAAGTTAGCCTTCAGTTCACAGTTTTAGGGGTTCTTCACTAGCAAAGAAAACCTACTTTTAATCGGTGGTGAGGGTCTCTGGGAGTGTTGGGTTAATAAAGTTTACGAGGTCAACGAAGAGAAGCAGGAGGGAGGCAGGACCTGTGGCCTGGCATCGGTGTCCAGCCCAGAGTGAAGCCAGGTGGCAGGTACTGATGGCTCATCACCCAGTGGCCCCATACTCTACACGCTGAGGCCCCAGCCCCTGGCTTCTGTGCCCTGTGCCTGTGAACTCCAGAGGACTCCTGGAGGTGCGTATCTGGGAGCTCACATCCACATTCAGCCACTGAGGACACGTGCAGGGGTGTGGTGGCCTCGCTTTCCAACCTGGCGGCAGGACACGCTCCAAGGTACAATTCTGCCCCCAGAGCTCCACAGGACCAGGCTGAGGCTGGATCTTCTGAACTCGCCCTCTCTGGCTTCTTCCCCTACCCTGCCTGGCTTCCTCCCCCACCCTGCCCTGCTTCCCCTCAATGCTGCAGTTTCTCCAGAGGGCGCTTTTTAGATGAGTTCCTGGCATGCATGCCGCGTGTCAGAGTTTGCTTGTACCAAAGATAACCTGAGATTCCTGAGCTGGTGGTGAGAGGCAGCCGGCGATGACCTTCGGGGCAGTTCCACAGCTAAACACAAGCCTGGAGTGCCAGGGCTGAGAGCAGGGGGCTCGATTCTGGGCCCCGTTGTTGGAAACCAGTGCAGCTGAAGTGTGTGACCAGACCCCCAGGACCCTGGAATGGCTCTACCCCACGAACATCAAAATCCATGCCAACTGAACAAACAATCACAAACTTACATAGTTAAAAAGAAGACTTTATTTCTTATAAAGGTGTACAGCCTGCAAGGTGGCCATCCCGACAGGCTGGGAAATGTAGCCTCCCACTGAGACTCAAAAGCAGGTACTGCAAAGGAGGAGGTGGGGTGGGGCAGGAGCTTCATGCTGAACAGACTGGCTGAACACACACACTCAACAGGCTGCAGGAGGAGCCGTGAGCATCCACCAAAGGGGTCCTGACGAATAGCATCAAACACACATGCATGTTCACTGTGGGCTGCAGACATGGTGAAATGCATTACGATTGAGCCCTGTGCATCTAGAGGTGAAGCAGGGTCAGGAAGGCACTCCGTGGGTGGCCTCTGTGACCTCAGTCCTGCTCCGCGGTCTCTCATTAGGAGAACGTTACTGAAATGGGTCTCTTGTCCAATCACAGCTGTGGTCCGGCGGACGAGGGGGTCAGAGAGGCAGTGTCTGGCAGCGGGTGACCTGCACCTGCTTTAATCTTGTTCATCTCAAGGCCGCTGTACCTTTAGCTGCTAGAGAAGAAGTGAAAAAACCTTGAGGCAGTTAGAACAGAGTTTATCTTTTAAGTGTAGGGCACAATTTGATATCTTGACACAAACAGTCCATCCACCAGCCTTCTTTTCTAAGATGGGGTCTCACTCGATCACCCGGCTGCAGTGCAGTGGCACAATCTCAGCTCACCGGAACCTCTGCCTCCTGGGTTCAAACCGTTCTCCTGCCTCAACCTCCTGAGTATCTGGGGCAACAGGCACCCACCACCATGCCTGGCTAAAGTTTGTATTTTTAGTAGAGGCAGGGTTTTGCCGTGTTGGTCAGGCTGATCTTGAACTCCTGACCTCAGGGGATCCGCCTGCCTTGGCCTCCCAAAGTGCTGGGATTACAGGTGTGAGCCACCGCGCCCGGCCCATCCAGCGGTCCTACTGTCTCTATTTTAACACTAACGCTGGTCAGCTGTTGTGTCTAAACCACAGAAGGAAGCGGGCATAAAGAGGCGCATCATGGCTGGGAACTCAATGTCAAGGTTTTCCTGGGGTCCCCTTGGCCAAGCTGAGGGTCTTTTCTGTGGTTGGGGTGCTTAGGATTTTATTTTTAGTTCTCAGGTTGGACTTGCAAGGGGCAGGGCAGGGCTGGGTCACCAGTCCTCTGGTAGCAGGTCCTGAGTTACAGTCCAGGCATTGCCTTACTCAGACCAAGTCACGGAGTCCCATGGCCTCGTGCTCCTCATGGCTGTGCACCTTTCCTAACCCACTGGACACTAGGAGAGTGGAAGAGGATCAGGAGGTCAGAGTGAACCTCATGCACGATGTATTTCTAATGACTAAATGTAAAATGTCAGATGGCTGTGCTGAGGGGAAACTTCTGTAATGTGACTCGGGAGGTATGGTAAGGCCTATAATTTGAGGGGAGAGAGAAAAATGTGCTTCCTTCAGAGTGGATCCAGGGCCGAAGTTGCTGTCACACCATCGAGGTCAGGAGTTGGAAGTCAAAATCCCCCAGGGGGGAGCCTCAGAGCAGATGATATCCTCAGGTTCCAGGCTCCACGTTGAATAAACTGATGGAACTTAACCCCTCAGTCTTGCTGATAAGGAAGCCAAGGCCCACAGTGGCACAGTGACCTAGCCAAGCTCACACAGCACAGTGCTTAGACTCGGAGCCAGAACCTGGGATTCCCAGGGCAGGTCTCCTCCAGGTGCTGGGCTGGGTTTGCATTTGGTGGAAGATGGAGGGTCTTTCCGTAGGGGAGTCTGGGTGGGAGACTGGACACAGCGGGGGATCTCCATTGCACCGATAAGGACAGCAAGGAGACGGCTCTGTCACCTCCGCTTCCCTGGTGCCTGCAGGCCGTGTGTTCTGATGGCACAGATAGGCAGTGTGACCTGCCCGAGCCTCCTGCTCACGTTTTGGGTGACTTTGAGTGGCCGGGCCAGCATGTCAGGCAGAGACACAGCTCCTCAGTTGGCTTTCCCACCCTGGATCAATGTGGAGAATGTTTCTGTTTCCACTGGGCTAAGCACATTCTAGCAATAAGCTTTCCCAGCAGGCAGCCCGGGGCTTTTCCCGAGGCTCGACACTGTTTACACAGCGGCTCCGAACCCTGCCATTTGCAGTCCGATGCTTTGCTCTTTGTTTCTCTGTTTAGTGTCCTTAATTTCTGGCTCTGTGACTTTTGTCTTCTTGTTATACCTTGTAATCATTTTCATTACAGCTCTCGTACCAACTTTTTACATAAGCTTGTCTCTAACATTCACAGGCAATTCAGTTACTTACACTGCCTAAAGAATGTCCTTGCCTCATTCAGTGGCCAGTGGCTCCTCCAGTCAGTTTTCTGGGCATCTGATTTCCAGGAGGAGGGCACGGGACACCCCTGGGAACCACAGGAGGACAGAGCCGCGTTCCATCAGCCTCTGGGTCTCACCCACTTGGACTTGCGGGCATCAGCTGCGGGGAAAGAAGGGGTTTGCCCCAGCCAAGAGCGCCGTGAAGCAAGAGCCAAGAGAGAAGCATCCTTGACCTCTGTCAGTCCAGACCCTGAGCACAGACACCAGCTCCCTCTGCCTCCCCTCTGGGCATCTGCGGCACCCCAAGGAGTCTCTGGGTTTCCTTCTCAACATTTAAGAATGGCAGCTCCCAGAGTCCTTACCCTCCCCGACAGATGCTGTAACACTACAGAAATAAGGAGACTGTTCACCAGATACTGAACGAGTCACTGCTGTCTTCCGAGCAATACTCTAAGCACTTAACTCGGGTCATCTTCTCAGCAACCCCACAAAGTGAGCAGCGTTCTCGTGCACGTTGTGCCCACGGGACCATGGAGCCATAGGGAAGGACAGTTATGAGCATGGTGTTCCTGCCACTGAGGGACAGGGCTCCACACACGGGATTCCGGAGTCTGAGCTCAGATGTACAGGGACACCTGCTCCTAGTGACTGTGACAAGCCGTGTAAAATTGTCTCACTTCAGCTGGACCAGAGGGTGACATGCAAAGGGCTGAAGGAGCATGTGCTGGCTGCTGTTACTTTGATAACACTATATTTGCCGCCTTGATAAGGCATGTTATTAATTATCTATCTGGCGTAATAAACTATACACCCTCACAGGCTTCAGCAGCACTCACGGTCTCAACATTCTGTGGGTCGGGGTCACAGCTTAGCTTTGCATCTCACAAGGTTCCAATCAAAATGTCAGCCAGGGCTATGGTCTCATCTGAGCCTCGACTGTGGAAGAATCTGCTTCCCTGAAGACTGAACAGACACAAACACCAGGAGCCAGGGGTAACAAGAGCCCATGTAAAGTACACTCACGTGCCGTCTTCTCCACGGAAGACCTGGTACCGCTGAGTCTGCACAATGTGCTGTTGGATCTCAGAGGCCAAGGCTGCTAACTCTGCCTGGGGCTCCTGGAAGTTCTCCTTGGGTGAAGGGAGTGGGCTCAGAGGGGGCATGGAAGGCCGTCAGACAGAGACCAGCATCTCAGCTCTGGGACCAGCAAAGGTGCAGAAGGTTGAGGAGGGGGCATGCTGGAAAATGGCAGCTGGTGCAGAAGGACCCTAGTGAGGGGTGAGGGGGTGATTATCCAGAGGCAAGGCTTCAAGGGACAGGAGGATGAGGACAGGGCCTGCATGACATGCTCCTGTGGCAGCTCGACCTTCTAATAGACTGTGTGCTTATGAGATGGTGAGTTACAACTGGAATCCATCATTGTTGGAGCTGTGTCTCAGTATCTACTGCTGCATAACTCCTTCCTTCCTTCCTTCCTTCCTTCCTTCCTTCCTTCCTTCCTTCCTTCCTTCCTTCCTTCCTTCCTACCTACCTCCCTCCTACCCTCTCCCTCCCTCCTTCCTTCCCTCCCTTTCTCTCTCTTTTTTGTCTTTCTTTCTCTCTTCCTCTCTCCCTCCTTCCCTCCTTCCCTCCCTCCCTCCCTCCTTCCCTCCCTCCCTCCTTCCCTCCCTCCTTCCCTCCTTCCCTCCCTCCCTCCCTCCCTCCCTCCATCCCTCCCTCCCTCCCTCCCTCCCTCCCTCCCTCCCTCCTGAAGTTTCCATCAAGCTGTCAGCAGTGGGCTCAACTTCAGCTGGAAAATCCACTTCCAAGTCACTCACATGATTGTTTGCAGGAGGGTTTCTGTCCTTACTCTGTGGTCTTCTCCTTGGCAATTGTCTTTCCCGAGCATAAGGGAGGCAGGAAGGTGAGAGGGCATCCGAGAGGTGTCTTCTGCAATGTAGTCATAGAAGTGACGTCCCATCACCCTCAGTCACCAGATCGTCCCTGTGAGCCACTCAGGGATGGAGGGATGGGGGCCATATTGGAAGCTGACAACCACAGGCCGCTTCTTGCTGAATTTTCAAAGGGCAGGCAGCTCAGAATTCAAAGTAATAACAAAAATAATAATGTGTGTACATTATATCACTTTACACATGACACAAATATAGCTCAAGCCTCCCAGAACCCTAAGAGGTGGGCGGTGTCACCACACCTGGCCATGGTGGTGAGAAGACAGTCCCACTGGGGATGGAGAAGCTTGGGATTGAACCCAGAGCCTGCAGCCACTCAGGGCCCTTTGTGGTGAAAGTGGACTTTTCAGAGACCCACACTCACCCACTGGTACCACAAGCCGTACCCTGGAAGATGGAGCAAGACCCCCTTGCACACACTGGGGCATCAGCCAAGTTGGGAAGCTGAGCCAGAGGGGGATGCAGTCCTGTGTGTTGACCTGTTGACCCTCCTGGCTCTGCACGTGGGCTGAGAACACCAGGTCCATCTCAGGCTGGACAGGGGAGCTTGTGCCCCTAACACAGAGCAGGGCCTTTTGAGGCGCTCATGGAGAATAAATGAATGTGTTTCAGTGCAGCACGTGACCAGTGACTAACAGGCAGGGGGTACAAATACCCCAGCTCCCTCACCAGTATAGTTCTTTTCCCTAGAACTTCCCCCAGAGGATTAACGCCCATGTGCCTTCTGTGCTTACAGTACTCCCCCTGGAGGGTCACTGTCCCTCCCCCAAATCACTCCCCACTTCCCTTCTGGGGTCCCTGAGCTGCACACACCATCCATACCTAAGGGTCCTCTGGAGACACTTGACTAGGACGTGCTCCATCCTGCGCTGGCAGCATCATGGACGACAGATGGCCATGGTCAGGGTGAAGTCAGAGAGCAAGATATCGTCACGGGAACTTGTGAGTCCAAGCGCCAAGCCACCAAAGGGAAGCCGAAGAGGGTGACGCTGGCCAGACACTGTGGGCTGAAGGTTTGCGTTCCCTCAGCGTTCGCAGGGTGAGGTCCTCACCCCTCAGGTAACGGTATCAGGAGGTGATTAGGCCATGGAGGAGGAGCCTCAAGAATGAGATTGTCCCCTTTTGAAAGAGCTCTGAGGGAACATGGTTGTCAGTGCCACCACGTGAGGACACAGTAAGAAGGTGCCATCTATGAGAAATGGGGCCTTCACCAGACACCAGATCTGCTGGTGCTTTCACCTGGGACCTCCCAGCTCTAGACTGAAACAAACGTTGCTGATGTGTGTAAGCACCCAGTGTGTGGCATTTTGTTTTAGCAGCAGAGAAGGACTAAGCCAAGGCCGGGGGGAGGAAGAGATGTGCTCACAGCCTGTGTGACGGGCCGGAGGTGACGAGGAAAGGCCCTTGAACAAGAGGGATGGGTTCGGGCATCAGGGCCAGACTGGGCTGCCCATCTCCATGCCTCCCCAGCGTGCCAGTTTACGTGCAAAACACCTCCCTGGGGCTCTGGCTCCAAGTCCACCCTTTCCCTCCCACTCTGAAAAGCACATTGGGGTGCTGGCAACTGAGAATGGTGTCATTATGGGAGCAGGAACCTAATTCTTTAGATGCTCTCAGCGGCCAGTTACCCACAGAACCTGCCCTGAACTGGGTTTGATCCACAAGCTCCTGCCCTGGGCTGGCAGCTTCTGATGGTGGCTCCAGGAGGGCGTGGCTGGGGAAGGTGGGAGGTGAGGAGGACTCAGGACGTGGGTGGGGCCGAGACCCTCCACACCTTCCCGAAGCAGCCCCATGGTGCTGTCACGGTCTCAGCTCAGGTTGACAGAAAACAATGATGACTTTCATAAGGAAACTTGAAAAGGTGAACCGTTCCTCTCCAGGAGTCCGGCAAAGGCAACTGTAAAAAAACAGAGCAAAGAAATAAGAAGGAGCCCAGGCACGGGTCTCCCACGGTGTCAGGAAGGTGTTTGGTAACTTGATATATGCCAAACTTCGGAACAGCCTTTGCCCTGTGAATGGGAGAATTACAATTCTCTCGCTCCCCACAACAGGTCCCACTAAATCAAGCAACCATTTGGTACTTGGGAGCTCCACATGACAAATCTAATTAAGACTCCATAAAATAAAATAATTCAAGTCTGCATTCAACCATTCCATTATCTCGCATGGTGTGTGATTGCTGCTTTATTAAACCACAAAGAGAAGCAAGTTCCAAACGAGGCCGGCCATTTGTTCGAGAATTGGCAAAACAATGTGAAGCTCAATCACCCACAACAATGTGTCGCATCTTCAGAAGGTTTTCAGCTGCGGTGTGTATTATGCTCACCAGACAGATTCCATGTGTGGGTTCGTGAGCCTTACAAGTAGGAAAACTGGCGAGGGATTCTCTCCGGGGACTGTCCAAGGGCTGCCTCCATTTGGTCTGGGATCCCGGAGATCTAAGATTGGCTGGTGTGCTGGAGAGAAGGCGCTCCACAGGTGGGTGCAGCAAGGACCCATCTTCTCCAGGCAGCAGTGGCAGAGGGCCACCAGGGATGACAGCCGAGGACATGGGACATGGGATGGCTGATCAGTGAATCACAGTCCTTAGAGAAAGTTTAATGGGAGAAAGGGGTTGCAGGTCCCTCAGAATGCAATGAGATTCACCCAGAACGAAGGCTTCATTTCTGTTCACAGCTGTGACAGCGGCTTTCTGGTCACACCCCACCTCCCGGTGTCCAGGGATGTGTCTTTTTGGCTTCTGTATCCTCAGTACCAGGCACACTTTCTGGAAATTAATTAATACTGACTGTTTTTCAAAAGAAGGTATCCGAAACCCCAACTTAACCTTATGATGCCCTTCTTCATCAGATTAAATTTGTCCACTGATTCCTTACAAAATCCAGGTGGAAAGGAGCGTGCACGACTTCCACACAACTGCACTTGAGCAATGTGATGCATTGCAGCTCCCAGCTGCGTTTCCGTGTGTGGACGGTCCACGTCTTCCACACGGCTGCACTTGAGCAATGTGATGCATTGCAGCTCCCAGCTGCGTTTCCGTGTGTGGACGGTCCACGTCTTCCACACAACTGCACTTGAGCAATGTGATGCATTGCAGCTCCCAGCTGCGTTTCCGTGTGTGGATGGTCCACGTCTTCCACACGGCTGCACTTGAGCAATGTGATGCATTGCAGCTCCTAGCTGCGTTTCTGTTCGTGGACGGTCCACGTCTTCCACACAACTGCACTTGAGCAATGTGATGCATTGCAGCTCCCAGCTGCGTTTCCATGCGTGGACGGAAGCACACCCATAGCCAATGCCCTTCCTGGCTCAAGGCCATAAACAATTTGCAAAATGGATTTCTCTCCTTGGTGGGTCCCACCGAGGGACTCGGGTTTCTAATGGGATAAGTCACATAAGTCCTCTTCAGGGATAAACTTGATGGATTTTCTTTTATGATAAATATGCAAAACCAGAAATGCCCAATTCCTTTCCAAGTTTGGGTGACAGCAGACTTGGACACCACAGTAACTTACGGAGCCTTCAAAAAGTCTGCCCTAGAACTAAAGCCTTCACACCCATCTGCCTCCTCCCCTCCTCTTGGGAAGCCAGAGGAGCTGTCAACTAGAATGCATTTCCCTAAGGAATCCTTGCCTTCCATGGGAAAGGATTTTCTCTTAAGAAACAGAATGAAGTCCCTCGTGGAGGAGGAATAATCGACAGGCTGCTGAGATGGTTCTCACGGGGACCCACCAGTCGTTCACTGTGTGCCCACCAGAGTGGGCCCTTAAACATTTCCGGTTCCCACGCAGTAAGCTGTACATCCGTTCTCACAGCCAAATCCAGGTCCAGGGAAGCCCTCAGAGACGCTCCTGCGTGAGCCGAATGCCGGCCGCACAGAGACAGGCTTCTCTAAAACAGGTGCTTCCTGGTGACTGTCACCATCAGACTATCTGTGGCCAACTATTTAGCTGGAACCAGTGGACCGGCAATAACCAGATTTATTTACTCAATGAAACTGTAACATCAGTTTTCAATTGAACAAGTTCTCAAATATATAAATAACTTCAGAGTAAATATTTTAGATACTGGTCACAATAAGAGCTTCAGCATATTCAACATCAACCAGTGCCATTCGCCTACCTCCGTCAGCCCGTCAACTTCCTCCTCTGGAAAGAGCACACCCATGTGAGGGGCCATCGTAAAAACAGTAAAGTGATTAAATGGGGCACCGTTCTCAGTCACAGCCCACAGTATTCACTCAGGCTGGCTCAGGAGGAAAGGGTTAATCACAACGCGATCTGGTAGTTGACAGAATTCCTGAGGAAGATATAAATGAAGTTCTGAGTGCCACAACAGCAGGAACTGTGCAGGCACAGATGACACTGGGGGACAGATAGCCCACCACGCATGGCTCTGGGGAAAGGAGCCCTGCCCTCGCCACCTCTCCAGTGCTGATGGGATGCATAAAGCCCCCCCACCTCCTGGCTCGCCTCCCTGCACAGGGCCTGCTGCCGTGACTCACTTCTGCTCTGAGCGTTCCACTGGGTTGTGTGCTGGAGAGAGCCAAGCAATCCCCCCTGCAGGGGCATCTGGAGAATGCCAGGCTCCACGGTTAAGTAACCTACGAGGCTGCTGGAAGGGGGTGGAGCGAGGCACCGGACAGGAGCCACCTGGGTGACTTTACTCAATTCCCTCAGTTGCTGACCAACTCAGAAAGACAATAAAAAAATACGGGACAGGACTGGCTCTTGGCCACCACTCCACAGAGCTCCAGAACCAGGGCAAGAGAAATAGAGAGTCCATGCAGAGGAAAGTCATTTACTGTTTTTTTAAAATAAAATACGTGTCATGTGAAAAATAGTTCCATGCCTGCCCAGTGTCGCTGTGGGCGCTCTGCTTTGGTTATGAATCACTGTTCTCCGCGAGGTTTCCACGTGCCAGCCTTGCTGGGGACCAGCTGCCTGGCGTTGCGGCATCTTGGATTCCCAGGGTCTGACTTCTCCTGCATTCTGCGCCCTGCCAACCTCTTCTATGTTTTTCCAGAGCAGCCTCTCTTTTCTGCCCTTCCTGGAACACCTTCTTTCTGAGCAGCCTGAGTTGAACCTCTTTTCTTTCCTGGCAAAAAAAAAAAAAAAGAAAGAAGAAGAAGAAGAAGAGGTGTCGGCGTGTGCTGTGACGTCACTCTCAGCTGTTTTAAATTAACCTTCCCTCCGTCTGTGCCAAGGGAAAAGCTGAAACGTGATTTGGTGAGAAGAAGCCTGTGAAACTGGGGGATTTTTTTTTTTAACTGTTCTGTTATTTTTTAAATGTGTTAAAATGCTCATGAGAGAGAAAGTGTAAAGCTTTTTAAGAAGCCACGTTTCAGAGAAAAAGGAAAGAAACCTCAAAGGTGTGTTAACGAGTAATAATCAGTATGGTCCCCGAAGGAGCATTCTCACGAAGGCCACCGTCAGTGGAACAGAACGTGGTCACCCGTGGAAATCCCTCCCCTGGAGGCTGGAGGAGACTGTGCTGGAGGAAAGATACAGAAGGGCAGAGGTTTTCCCTACGTCTCTGTTCTGACCTGAGAGTAGAAACAGCACTGCTGGAAAGCAGCGTGTCTGGGAAGTGGAACCCTGTGCTTCTCAGGCGCAGCCCGCCTGGGTCTCGCCAGCCCGTGGGTGCCTTGATGCTGTGCTGCAGCTGCCCGGCAACCTGTGCTCTCTGCAGGGCTCTGACGTTTCAAACATAAAGCGCTGGCTGGTGGAAAACTATTTCCCCACAACCGGGGAGATAAATTCATGAATAAATTAAGACAAACAACTCAATAATTTTAAAGTTCACTTTTCTGTAGACCGAGCGTTGTACCTGGGCTTTACGTGGGTTATTATTTAACTTCTCACAATGCTGCTATGAAGCACATGAGCAGGAACCATTTTGCAGATGGTGAAATAGAACTGGGTTAACTCATTAGCTAGAGGCACGTGGCCAGTCTGTGGAAGACCCAGGACAGAGGTACACTGCCCCCCCGGAAGGCAGCCTGTGAAAGAGAGGGCAGGATTGGTGCCACGGAGCGGCTTCTTTCAGTCCTGCTTCAAGCTCTTGTTTTCTTAATATCAGTGCGTACATAGGTTACATTGTTTATTCTTTATGTAATAAAATAATCTGTGGTTAAACCTCAAAATTCTCATTAACTGTGTGTGGTCCGTCCATCACTGTACCCCCACATCCGCATACATCTTGAATAGAGTGGGAATTCACTGAAGACTAGGTGGAGTCATCAGTTGGTTGGCAATATCTATCACATGCGTGGCTGGGTTGCTGGCTGTAGAGCCTGTGATGCTGAGGCAGCCTTCAACAACACCCACTTCCCTGGTCCCCTCTGGAGAGTGAATCGTAAACACGTGACCTGTCTCCATGCCTGGAGACATTTAATCTGTTTTTTAAAATTGCATTTTAGGATTTGGGGTACATGTGAAGAACATGCAAGATAGTTGCATAGGTACACACGTGGCAGTGTGATGTGCTGCCTTCCTCCCCATCACCTATATCTGGCATTTCTCCCCATGTTATCTCTCCCCAATCCCCACCCCCCACTGTCTCTCCCCTATTTCCCCCCAACAGACCCCAGTGTGTAGTACTCCCCTCCCTGTGGCCATGTGTTCTCATTGTTCAACACCCGCCTATGAGTGAGAACATGTGGTGTTTGATTTTCTGTTCTTGTGTCAGTTTGCTGAGAATGATGGTTTCCAGATTCATCCATGTCCCTACAAAGGACACACACTCATCGTTTTTGATGGCTGCATAGTATTCCATGTTGTATATGTGCCACATTTTCCCTGTCCAGTCTATCATCGATGGGCACTTGGGTTGGTGACATTTAATCTTATAACTTAATAATTTCATAAGTTACCATGAAGTTCAATGGCTCTTGCACGCAGGCGAGGCTCTTCTCCTTCCCCCTCCATCCGTCTCACCACAAAGCACCAAATAATTCACAAATCTTTCCAAGCAAACAGCAGAATAACTGCACTAATGAGAGACGCTGTTTCAGTGACCACTGGAACCTCCATTTCCTAAGAGCATTGGGAGCAGAAAGGATTGTGATAAAATATTTGCAATTAGCCGTGGAGCTAGAAGGAGCTGTGGAGATGTAGCTGACCGCAGCCTCACCTAAGACCTGAAGCCTGAGCCACTGTGAGAAGAGCCAGGCCGAATCTTGTTTGTCGATTTGCCCACCAAGTGTGTGTTGGGTGCCCATGGTGTTGTACGAGTCACTGCAAACACTGGGGACCCAGCATGAAGAAAAAAGGCAACGCCCCTTGCTTCATGAAGGTCACAGTCGATGGAGTAGGAGAGGGAGAGAGAGGAGCAGACATATCAGTGTCAGAGAATTTAAAGGGGTGATGTGACAGTGCTGCCTGGCTGCCGTAGAAAGTGTCATGGGCTGGGCGTGGTGGCTCACACCTGTAATCCCAGCACTCTGGGAGACCGAGGCCAGTGGCTCCCCTGAAGTATTGCGTTTGAGACCAGCCTGGCCAACATGGTGAAGCCCCATCTCTGCTAAGAATACAAAAATTAGCCAGGCGTGGTAGCACACACCTGTAATCCCAGCTACTCGGGAGGCTGAGGCAGGAGAATCGCTTGAACCCGGGAGGTGGAGGTTGCTGTGAGCCAGGATGCGTAACTGCACTCCAGTCTGGGAGACAGAGCAAGACTTGGTCTCAGAAAAAAAAAAGAGAGTCAGATAAAAGTCTGGAAAAAAAAAAAGGATACTTAGAGTGAGGTCTGAATGACAATGACAAGCCGGGCATGGAAAGAGGAAATAGGAGCGTTCTGGACTGAGGGACTGCTCAGTGCAAACCTTCTTGGGTGGAAATAAGCTATTTGCACTCATAACTCAAAACACCTTTAAGTGTCTATTTCTGCACAGACTGGACGGGCAGAACCTGGAGCAGGGTCAATGAACCCGGTGGGCAGTCCTGCACGCCTCTCCCTGTCCCGGACCCAAAGGAGACCGCACAGGCGGTGTGCTGAACACGTTCGCTTTCTTGTTTAACATTTGGTGAAGTCAGATGCAGTTCTCTTCATAAGGCGTTTTCTAATAATCACTATCTGGAGAGACTTGAGCCCCCAAGTGGGGACCCCTGACCACAGTCCTCGCACTGAGGAAGCCCAGTGTGGCTGCTGTTTCAGATGGTGTATGTGATCAAAACATTTTCAGAAGTTGGGCACCAGTTAAGGAAGGGTGGCACTGGCAGGCTGCTCCCAAGAGCATGGAAGGCGCCTGAGCAGAGCTGTGGCCCAGAGGAAGCCAAGTGTCAAGACCAAGTTCAAGGGGCATGCAGAAATCCCGCCCTGCGGGCATCACAGCAAGACAAAGGCTCTGAAGCTCGGCACAGCAACTGGGAGCACAAAGGTGGGGTGGGTGAGGGCGGAGTGGCCCAGAGGCAGGCACCTGAGGCTCCTGCCCATGCGAGGACCCATGTGGGGACCCACGAGGGGTGGGTGACGGCAGAGTGGCCCAGAGGCAGGCACCTGAGCCTTCTGCCCATGCGAGGACCCATGTGGGGACCCACGCAGGGACTCATACGAGGGCCCATGTGCACACACAGGTACACACTGCACCCACATCCTTGGGGGAGTCGGGACACCTGTGCAGGAATGCAGCCCAGAGCAGGACCACATCCCCACCAGGCACCCAGGCCAGCAACACAGGGAGCCCCTGGCACCCCGTCACCGGGAGGCAACAAATGAGAGCTTTTAGCACTTATGGATGTGAGTCACCAGCTACTGACACTGGGCCTGTCAGGCCCTTCTTGGTTGCAGGGCGGGGTGAGGCATCCTGAAACACCAGGATTTCTGTCGGCCAGCCAAGGGAAAACCCTGAGTGGGGGTCCGGTTGGGGGCCTGTCAGCCTTCCTTCTGGAGGTGAGCAATGTCCCTCTTCTAACTACTCTCTTGTCAGTGCACAGAATCTAAAACTGGGCAGATTTCGTCCTAGAAGGTAGTTCTGTGGGGCTCAGCTTCTTCATATTTAAAATGGAGATAAAAATAATACTCCATATGTTTGTCATGGGAAATGGATAACTCAATTTACATCAAAGAGCCTGTCATCTGTTAAGGACAAATGATAGTTAAATTTCACCCAGGAAATTCAACCAGTGTTGAGAGACCGCACAGAAGAACACACTGGCAAGGGGAACTGGGCATCGGGAGCTCAGCTGTGCAGTGCCCTGGGAAGGGTCGGGGCACCAGCAGGGGAGTCTCCCCACCCCAGGCCTCACTGTTTTCTTCTGTAGAAGGAACAGGTTGGCCTAGAGCAGGAATCTGCAAACTACAACCAGTGAGCCAAGTCTGCCAGCTTTTATAAATAAAGTTTTATCAGAACACAGCAACGCTCACTCATTTGCATACTGTCTGGCTATCTCCCAGTTGTAAGAGCAGCATTGAGTATTTTCGACAGTGACTGCACAGCCTGCAAAGCTGAATGTGTTTCCTGTCTGGGCCTTCACCAAACATGTTCCCTGAGCCCAGCAGAGCCTCGGAATTCTCAAAGACAGGCACTGAGGACACAGTTTCTCCAACCCTGTCCCATCTCCGGGGTGGTCACAGGGTGTTTTCATGAGCTCAGCAGAGAATGCTTTGCAGTCAGCCTGGCCTGGTGGGTGGACGGGAAGCACCAGCCACCGAGGGCTTCTGTGCTGACACACGCACACACACACACACATATGCATTCACATGCACACACATACACACTATCACACGTGCACATACACACTAACACGCACACATGCACTCACACACATGCACACACACACGCTCACATACACACACATGGACACACACACATGCACATGCACACATATGCACTCAAATGCACACACATGCACTCACATGCACACACATGCATGCACACACACTCACACACACACACACACGCCATCTGCATCCAGCAGCCCTGCCCGCCCCAGGCCTCACCTTCAACACCTGCACAAGAACAAACCTTCCACACTATAAACCCTCCCCTCCTGATTCCATGGGTTAAGAGGGAGTGGGTCCCCCATGCTGACGTCTCTAAAGTGTCCTTCAGCCTCTCAGGAAGCTCCCCGAGTCTCCCTACAACTGTCATGCAGAGAGAGCAGGGTCACTGGACAGGGAGTGGGCTCTGTGGTGCCTTAGAGAGAAGGCCCTCCCTACAAGGACCCGGTGCCCACCTGTGTCCTCCGTGGGGGCTGAAGCCACATGGAGGACAAGCAGTGCCTCCCCTTAGGCAGCCTTGGGATGGATGAGAACGCCCAAGGCTGTGAACACTCCCTCCTCCTCCTTCCCTCATCCAGCACAGCTGTAAGGTGTCCGCATGTGTTGGGCACAAAGGCGCCAAGACATGACCCCACTGCTCAGGGGCACTATGAGCCTACTCAGGCTGCCATAACAAAGTGCCACCGGCTGGGGGGCTTGAACCACAGACACTTATTTCCTCACAGATCTGGAGGCTGGGAATCCAAGATCAAGGCATCCTCAAGGCTGGTTCCTTCTGAGTCCTCTCTGGCTTGTGGATGACGGTCTTCTTCCTGTGTCTTCATGTGTGTGTTCCCCTATACATGTCTGTGTCCTCATCTCTCTTCTTATGAGAACACTGATCATCTTGGGTTAGGGTCTACCCTAGTGACTTTATTTAATTTTAATTTTTTTGTTTTGAGACAGAGTCTCACTCTATCACCAGGTACCAGGCTGG